TTATAGCATAGATCATTTGAAATAGCCCTGCATTGTCCATGTTTACATCCTCATTTCATGGTGAAGATCACAGTGGTAACATGCCAGTCGGGTCAGACCGGACCGTGACTCTAACACTCCTTCAGCATCCTTTCTGCTCAATCCTGCCCCCTTTTGGCCCTGCATTCAGAATGGATACAGCACAGTATATAAGCATAGTAATTAGAAAATATGTTATAAATGTTTTATTATTAAAATATCAAGCTTGTAAACTCCGCACTCATAGCCCACAAAGATTTTCAAAAGCCCTATGCCTGTACATTCTATTCTTCAGATTAAAAAGCCACAAATATTATTATTATTACCCAGGCTAAACTTACACATAGAAAACTCAAAGTATGAATGCTGAATTAATTAATCAATTTTAAGGTTTCTTGTTTGTGTTTATGTAACAATGAATAAACGAAGGGAAATATTCTATATTTCACGTATTTCTTATTACAAGTGCAAATCTGTGTGTGTGTGTGTGTATTTCAAAACTGCACTAAATGGAGTTTAAATCATTAGAAGTAGAATGACTTCAGTGCAAAAGGCCTAATGATTCAACAAAGTGGTAATAAATCTTTCTCCAGATCCCCAGGTGCACAAGCTCTATTTCAAAATGAAGCCTGTCAAATTCCAGTTGCACCCAGCTGTTAAATTTTGAAAATATGTCCTCATCTCTCATGATAATGCAAGTATTTGCATGTATTCACACAAACTTTCAGGGGAAAGGAAAACTATTAACCGATCTCTTCAGATTATGAACTGCCACTGGTGTGCATTTTCAGAGGAGGTAATGAGGGCGTTGGATCAAATGTGGACAAATGTAATAAACACAGTAAGAAATTAAATGTCGTTCTTTATAGTTGGAATTCTTCATTGCACTTTTCATATTTTTGGAATGCAGTGGAGAGGGACTAAGCAGTTCATTATTGTGCAGACATCTGAGAGCAGCAGTATATAATCTAACACAATGTTTTATTGTAGTGACCTTTAAGACTGATTTTAGTTATTATAAATTTGAAATGAAGTGCTACTGTGCCAGTAAAGTGCTATGTCACAGGAATTATTCATCTGGACCGATAAAATTCATAGAGCAATTTTGTTTCTGATAAGTATTTTATGTAGGGTGGTGATGATAGTAATTTAAACTGAAAAAGAGCAGGTTTTCAGGAACATACGGATGCAATAAGCAAAACAACATGCCTCAAAGATTATTTTCACAATCCGTGATTCAAGAACAGCATAGTGCAGTATAGGGTCTTCATTCAAGGAACTTTGTTTTTCTAAAAATTATGGTTAGCACATTGTTAAATCAGCAGGAACCTCAATATTGCTGTCCTCTTTCTCCACACAAGGAACATAAATAAAAATAAATAATTCATTCAGTCACTCATTTGCCATACCTGCTTGTCCTGTGCAGGGTTGTAGGGGAGGAAACATAGGAAACAGCCCAGGATGGGGCACCAAACCATTGCAGGGCATGTGCACCATTTAAATTATATGCATACGCATAAATAGATGAAGGGTGAACTAAACTGTTTAATGCATTACAAACTCTGAATGTCTAACTCAATGGGTGGGTGAGCCAGATGTCTTTATGTTTCTTCAGTTATGAATGGGAAGGTAAAAGCTGCAGAAATATAGAGGAGACTATGAACCACAAGCAGGCCAGTATTCTCAATGTGCATGACAGCAAAGCAACTGCACCTCAAAGTTATATAGCAGTTATAACTGTCATTGTCACCAGAGGGGAATAGTGCCCCCTTTACGGGTGACAATAGAGGAACATGCGGGTACCCTAACCCTCTGTAGTTCATAATCGTGACGACCATCATCACCCAAATAGCTGTGAAGTTCAGTAGCACAGAGAAAGCAAACTCGCCAATCTGCAGTGACGTGCACTGCACTGAGTAACATCCCATCAGCTCCATAGGCAGAGCAGGGAGCAGGACCCTTTGACAGCCATAATGATGACTTCATGCATTATCCCGGCAGGGCTGCCATGTGACCCCTTAGCGCCGCACATTGGCAGCTGTGATTAGGCCTGGGGGGTGGGGGGCATGAGAGGTGGCCCACGAGATGGCCTAAGTGATGGGGGAGGAATCACCTGCACATCATCTGTTTCTGTCAAAAAGACACAGGTCTCCGATCCGCAGCCTCTGCTCCTCCTTAGGGGATAGAATTCCTGACTTCAGGGTATCGAGGTGAAGGAAAGCCCATCTATTGTGTGGAAGAGGAACTTCTGTTAACACAGCCAGTACCATCAGAGGATTGTCATTTTGGCCTTGAAATATGTTTTCAAATAACAGTTTAAGTCAAATTTTAAGTGTTATGAAAATCCTAAAATATATTTAAAAATTTTAGAACTATCACTGGTAATTTTTATAACCACTGTAAATACTTATGCTTGGCAATTTATTTATTTTGAATTGTACTGTATTTCCTTGCAATACTATACAAATAAATGGTATAAAGCTAGATCTTTGAAAATTTTTTAATAATTGGATTTACTGGTATGATTCATATAAAAAGTGACTTTGTCTTGCATTTTGACAATGCGTGTATTTATGGGTTTTTTCGTGATTTTTATTGTGAATTTCAGTGACACTGCAATTCTCCAGTTCACCATAAGATGGCAGAGCCCACATTTTAAAAGCAACAAGGCCGAAAAAGGATTCAAAGGATTCAAAAGGTTTATTGTCATTTGTACTAATACAAGTACTGAGTACAATGACATGCTTACTTGCATGTTTCCTGCAGGCAGACACAGACGACAAGACAGCAGAAACATAGTAACAGGACATAGGATAACATTCCAGTAAAATAAACGGAAATATAAATGTGTAAATATAAATATAGATATGGATGTATCTGGAAGAATAAATATGGCCTGTACAATATACAGGCATAGCAGAAGATAATAGTGCAAATATAGTGCACACCCAGACTCTCACGCACGAAATCTTATGGCAAATCTAATGTGCTACATCAAAAGTCTTGGGATAGTTTTCAAACCATACAGACTCTTTACAAGGTAATAAAATGGTTACCTACTGTACATGTAAATGCATGTGCAGATTTGTCTTGAATTGAAAATTACACACCATCCAGCCAACCAGAGTCGGCAACCCTGGAACAGTGACAGGTGCAGTGTCACTGACATGTCAGAAGTCATGGCAGTGGAGAAGAAACTGTCCCTGAAGCAAGAGGTGTCTGTCTGCATCGACTGCAGCTGATTTGCCAGTGGGGACAAAGGTGAGCAGTGGCAGTGCAGGGTGGCGGGAATATCTCATGGTGCAGTTCGCTTTCCTGAGCAGCTTGTGGTGAAGATGTTAAAGATTGACAGGAACTGTGTGCCAGTGATCCTCTGTGCAGTTTTCACCACCCTCTGCAGAGCTTTGCGATACTGAGCAGAGTACCAGTATGTGATGCACATACCAGTATGTGATGCACGCTGTGAGGATGGACTCCATAGCACACCTGTAGAACTTGGTCACGGATGTTGTGGATGTTCCTACCTTCCTTGCTGATAAACCTTCTTGACCACTGCTGCAGCATGTTGAAATCACTTAAGATCCTCTGCGAGGGTGACCCTGAAGAACTTGAAGCTGCTGATCTGCTACATAGTATTGGAGTGGATATAGCTGAGGACTATCACTCACCTGTGGAAGTCCAGGATCAACTCCTTCACTTTGCTGATGTTGAGGGTGAGGCTGTTGTTCTGGCCTCACTTTGCCAGCAGTGTGATCTCCTCCCTGTAGGCCGACTTGTCATCATTACTGGTCAGCCTAATGATGGTAGTGTTATCAGCAAACTGCAGGATGGAGTTGTGCTTGGCTACACAATCGTGATTGAAGAGGGAGTATAGCAGGGAGCTCAGTACATTGCCTTGCAGGGTGCTGGTGTTGATGGTGGTGGAGGATGACATTTTTTCACCAATGTGCATATGCTGGGGTCTGCTGGTGAGGAAATCCAGGATCCACTTACACAGCGAGGAGCTGAGCCCCAAATTTAAGAAGCTTCGCAACTTGCTGGGATGGACTGACGCTGTTGAAGGCTGAGCTGTATTCCAGACACAGCAGTCTGGTATAGCACTTTATTTTCCTGGTGAGATAGAGTAGTGTGGAAAGCAATGGAGATGTCATCTTCACTGGATTTGTTGTAGCAGTAGGCAAACTGAAGTGGGTCTAGAATGGTCTGGTCTAGTCTGGTATGATGCTCTTAATGTTTTTAACCCATCTCTGAGAGAGAGATTAAAAATATCAGTGAAGACAACTGCTTATTGGATGCAACAGGTTTTTAAAACATGCAGAAACTCTGCCAGGGTCATTCTTGTGAGTGTTGAGTCACTCACTTTGTGAGTGTTGAGTCATTTCACTCCCAGAGACCATCCAGCAGGCGTTGTGCAGTGCAGGAGCCCTTTAAGAGGATTTCTGCTGCTGCGTTCATAGCAGAGGTGGAGACTTCAGGTCCAGAGAGTACAAACCAACCAGTTGAATGTAAAGAGTCACAGTCACAGAGTACTCAACTGGTTGGATGAAACAAAATGTTGGTCTGGATTTGTACTCTCTGGACCTAAAATCTCCACCTCTGATTACATGATGGTGTAAAAGGCATTCAGCTCATACAAATACATATGCAGATATTTATGGCTTCATGCGTCTGGGGCTTGTACTCCATATGCATTTGGACTGCCTGCCATATCCAACATGGATTCTGTGTGTTGTCGAGTTGTGGCTCATTTTGCAAGTATACTGCTGTTTTGTACTGTTGATCGCCTTCTGGAGATCATACCTGCATTTTATGTTTGCTTGTCTGTCACCGGGGAAGGAAGGAAGGTTGGTTGGTAGGTAGGTAGGTAGGTAAGTTAGGTAGATAGGTGTTTTAAGATGATGTGATGGGGATATAGGGCTTTCGAAGGAGCAAACAGGCACACTTGGGTTCGCTTCTAAAAACGCTTTATTATAAGTATCCTTAGGCAATGCTTTCCCCTCTTCCTGAGGATGGGGTGAGCGTCCTACACACACTGACCACTAGGTGCGGTTTCAATCAAAGATAGTTAGACAGGTATCCTTGGGCAATGCTTTCCCCTCTTCCAGAGGATGGGGTGAGCGTCCTACACACACTGACCACTAGGTGCGGTTTCAATCAAAGATAGTTAGACAGGTATCCTTGGGCAATGCTTTCCCCTCTTCCTGCCGCTAGGCTCAGCTTCAATCACAATAGGAATGAGCAGAGCTTTCTCTTCTCTTCCGAAGACCCTTCAAAAGAGAGGACAAGGCAGGTCTCTCATATACCGACCAATGGTGTGCAGAACATACTGGGTGACACCCTCCGAAACCCAGGGACACCTGGTAAGTGTCCCTGGATACAGTAAGCATTCCAAAACAAGGATTCTTTCACATAAGATAAGGATCCTCTGAAACCAGTCATTTGTGAAAAACAAGTTATACAAGTGACCAGAAAGAAAAAAGGGGGAAAAAACCATGCTATGCAGTTTTTTACCCTTAATACAATTATATTACAGGTGAATCATGGACGACATATTTGAATCTCAGGATGATTAGTCCACACACAATCAGAATTAATCACACTTCAATCACCTCATATGTATGACAGTAACAGGACAATGATTAATTTCTAGGCAACGTAGGTAGGTAGGTAGGTAGGTAGGTACGTACATACACTGAGCCTATTAATTAAACTGTAGTCGGCTCAGAAAGAGACTGGAATGTTTAAAAATTGCACATGAGACAATTCCACACAGTAAACTTGTTAGACTGGTTAGGGCTAGATAATCATGGGAATGAGGTGTAGCTGTCAGTACTCTGAGGAACGGCAAAAGGGCCATGGTTGAGATACAGGCAGCATGTCCAGGTTGAGCCCTACAGTAGCCCCCTTCCCTGTGGGTGACTCCAGATACCTAGGACCGGTGACTCAGAGGATGGCCATGAGGCCAAGGTGCCAGACTATCTGGTTATAGACAGTGAAAGCCAGAGATAGAGAAGGATCTGGTATGTCAGCCACCAGCACCCAGGACTGCTCTTCTGGGCAGCAACCCCCCCCCAAAAAAAAGTCTAGTGCTAAGTGCAACCAAGGGTACAGCAGTACTGTAAGAGGTTAAAGCAAACCAATGGGTAAGGCATGTAAGATCTTCGATTGGGTACAAATGGGGCAGTAGATGACATAATTGTAGATGTTGTCCTCCAGCTACCATTATCTGCCTCCCGCTAGGTCTGTGGTCTTCTTAATGCTCCGATATCCTAAGCTAAGGAAGTATAGACACATTGGATGAGCTGAGGTTGAATTGAGGCAGGTACCTATTGTTTGTTGGGTGGAATGGATCTTGGGCGTGGATCAATCTGCAATGCCTGGTCGATCTCTTCAGTCAGATCCCATCTCATGTGTGTGCGTTTTTCTCCCATTAGGTAGACTACTGTGAATCTAAAATGGACCAGGAATGTAGCTTAGGGTTAAGACATTTGGTGTTTTGAATATATTCCTGGTTTTTGTGATCCGTGTTTACCTGTAAGGGATGTTTGGCCCCCTTGAGCCAGTGGCTCCCGAGCCAATTTTATTGCTAGCAGCTCGCAATTACCAAAGGCAAGGCAAGTTTATTTATAAATGCAAGGCCATTCAAGGTGCTTAACAAAGGCAGAACAACACATTTAAATAAAAGACATTTAAATCACATTTAAAAGACAAAATAATAATAATAATAATTATTAATATTATTATTATTATATTTTTTAAAAACCTAAACCCAAACAACCAAATCCTCAGGTCTTCAAGAAGCTTGTTCCTCAGGCGGGGCGCATAGATACTGATGCTTCACCGTGTTTGGTCTTGATTCTGGGAGCACTGAGTAAACCTTTCCCAGATGACATCAGGGGTCTGGATGCTTCGTAATGTTCAAGTAAATCAGAAATGTATTTAGGCCTGAGACCATTTAGTGCTTTGTACACAAGTAATAATATTTTAAAATCAATCCAATAATGGACAGGAAGCCAGTGCTGTCAGTTAAGGACCGGCGTGATATGCTCTACTTTCTTGGTATTAGTAAGGACACTGGCAGCAGTTTTCTGGATGAGCTGCAGCTGTCTGATTGATTTTTTGCTAAGACCTGTGAAGACACCGTTACAACAGTCTAGTCTGCTAAAAATAAAAGCCTGAACAAGCTTTTCTATATCTTGTTTAGATAGAAATCCTTTAATTCTTGCTATGTTTTTAAGGTGGTAGTAGGCTGATTTTGTAGTTGCCTTACAGTCTGAGTCCAGAACTACACCAAGATTTCTGGTTTGATTTGTAGGTTTTAATGGCATGGATTCCAGGTGAGCAATGACTTTCCATCTTTCTTTTCTGGGTCAAAAACAATTACAGTGGTACCTCGGTTCTCGAACTCATTAGAACTCGAATTTCATAAAAGTCGAACCAACCAGTTCAAAAATAAAATTACCTAGAACTCGATTTGAATCTCAGAAGTCGAATGGTGAACACCAACCTAAGATAACTTGTACACATGGGGAAATGAGTCACGCGGCACGTCTCTCAGCGGAAACAAAGGGTAACGTTTCAGTCTCAGCCTCGCATTCGCTGTGATAGCATCGTGCATGTTTATACTAGCTGAATACATATATTTAGATAGTAAAAATACATTGACAATGACAGACAGTAACAGTAATTATTATTATATAATAAAATACATTTTAAAATAAAGATTTCTTATTAATAATTTTAATATTAATAATAAACCATTAATACATTTAATTATAATATTGCTGTGCCAAGCAGGGACGAAAGGGAGACAAAGGCGTAGATGTCATGGTATCGGGGAATACGGGGTTTAATTACAGGTAAGGCAGGCAAAACGCAGACGGACAATACAATGACCGGACTGGGGAAACAAACTGAAACGCGGACAAAATACAGAGAACTAAGGACAACAACCATAAACAGCTGATCACACGGGGATTCCACACGGGGTTAAGTACTCTATCCTCACTGACAAAAAGGAAGTTTGGAGAAGCTGATTCAATAAGGACTGCTGCATTATGTTCATTATGTTCAACCACGTTTCAGTTAAAAACATAAAATCATGCTTTTTCTTGATAATACAATAATTAATTAATAGTGATTTGCCAGTCAAGGACCTGATATTCAATAAAGCTAAGTTTAATGTATTAAATGCAGTGTCTGACTCAGTCTATGGCTGGTGTATAACTGGAGTCAAATTAGACAGCATAGCTGCACTTTGAGTAGACTTTGTTCACCTTCAAATGAGTCAAAACAGGGTGTCAGCATGGCCAGTAATGCCGACAGCAGTGGGTCCATACCCAGTGTGAGGAGAGAGACATGAGGTAAGAGGGGTGGTTGGGTAAGGACCCAGTCTGTCCTAGATGTCAGCATGGCCTAGTTTTCAAAAACTTGGTTTTAACATCTCTTATTACTGTATGTCGTCATCTACTAGCAGAGTCTTTGGTTTGATGTCTTCTCTGACTTGATTAGCTTCTTTGTCGATTGTGCGGTTCTGTTCAATGTTCTGTTCCTGTCCTTTTTGATGATTAGCTTTAGTAGCCTTTGGTCTGTTGTTTACCCATGCGTGCCACAGAGAGACACTCACGGGCTCAGCTGTATCACATGCCATTGCTGCATGGGTCTCTGGTTAGCATCTGAGCTGGCAGCGCTAATGTTAGCTATAGAATTAACACTGAGCTCATTGACAGGCAGCTCGTCCAGAATAATGTACCTGTTCTCCAACCGAACATTTGGTTAGACATGAGTGGTCCTGTGTTTTTTGCTTCTGGCTCTTCTTTTGCTCTGGACAGTATCCATCCAGAGCTCAGGGTGTGGCGATGCAGGACTGGAGCTGGTCTTTGGTCTTGCTCCATGGTTGACCCAGTAGCATATAGCCAGGTCCATTGTTGTTTCAGTCTCGAGAGGATTTCCATTTGTCTTCGGGCCAGACCAAGGAATAGAGCCCACGTAGTTGTTGGCATGGGACTTATTACAGTATGTGCAACAGCTGTTCCGCAGAGCGTTTCATGTCCCTGGATCTGACTGCCAGCCGGGTGCAAAGGAACATCATGGGAAGCGACAAACAGAGTGTCAATAAGTTTTTAATCCTCTTGTATTTTGTAGAGTTCAGTTGTTCTTCTTTCCAGCTCTGTAATCTTCTGGCTGAGCATGGCCCAGCTGGTACATTCAGTGGGGCGAGAAGACAGGGGAGACATCTATCTTTTTCAAAAAACTTCTTCTTCAATGTAAATACAATTCTTTTCAGATAAAACGGGTGAAAACAATAAAATAAGTAAAAGCAGTAAATTGTGACCACTGCAAAATCAATACAAAGTACAGGGTGGGCCATTTATATGGATACACCTTAATAAAATGGGAATGGTTGGTGATATTAACTTCCTGTTTGTGGCACATTAGTATATGTGAGGGGGAAAACTTTTCAAGATGGGTGGTGACCATGGTGGCCATTTTGAAGTCGGCAATTTTGGATCCAACTTTTGTTTTTTCAATTGGAAGAGGGTCATGTGACACATCAAACTTATTGGGAATGTCACAAGAAAAACAATGATGTGCTTGGTTTTAACGTGACTTTATTCTTTCATGAGTTATTTACAAGTTTCTGACCACTTATAAAATGTGTTCAATGTTCACCATGGTCACCATGGTGTAAATTATGGGGGGGATAGGCGGGTTGTAGCCCCCCCAATAAATCAAAACCAGCTAATACAACCCCCCCAATAATCATGCTTCCCCCGTAATGGGTGGAGACCTCAACCCCCCCAATGTTCCAGCCAAAGTTACGCCCTTGGCAGGGGGAACCAGAATTTGGTGGTTACTTCACTGAGGGCTCAGTAATCAATGCAGGGACATAGTCCCCCATCGATCTTATTGACAAAGAAGAAACCGGATGTAACCGGTGGTAAATGGCCAGGTGTTTCCTGGTTGTGATGCTTCCTTGAGATACTGCTCTTGAAAGTCGCTGTATTTTGTGGGAATGTAAACTGTTTTTATGGTTTCATGACTCTCGACTATCTCCCCTATATGCCAGGTGATCTGCAGGGTCGTGTTTGCACAGTCATGGATATCCCAGAAGAGTGGGATAACAGGGGGATTTAGTCAGGAATAGCTGAATCTTCCCTTGAAGAAACAGGCCAAGCTACAGGAGAATTGAAGCAGTGCAGCGCATGATGAGACCCCAGCCTCCATTGGAACCAACTAGAGTGTGAATGTGCAGGGGAGGTTCCTACTGTAGCAGGGGCAGGTTGAGGCGGTGAGCCAGGGTGATATTTATGGAGTTACCGGCAGCCCCAGAGTCCATCATGGAGGTGGACACATGGTTATCAGAATCAGCCTGAATAATGTACCAGTTAATCATGGGTGATATTGAGCATTACAAACGATCTGACTTGAGCAAGGCTGAGGAGAGGGACACTGAGAGAACATGAGCGGGATCCCCGCAGTGCAATCAGAGCTGATGAGTGAATGCATATACTGCCTCTTATTTAAGCCCTGCGACCTCTGTGACATGGTTTTCCACGCTAAATTTTTTAAATGGCATAAAAATCACTTGAATCACATTACAGGTTCTGTGTAACACGCTATTTAATAATATAAAGTCTATTCCAGGCAGCATAAGGCAAAAGTTAGAAAAGAAGCTAGTGTATTGCATGGAACATAAACACACTCAAAATAATTTAATATATTAAATACATAACTATGTTTGTGTAACCTGTTTTGGGTATGTTGTTTTTCTGCCAGGATATCGGCTTATCAGCAGAGTGGCAACAAAGAGTGTTAGAGAATTTGAATACAATGGTGTATCAATGAGGACAGAGGTGCCTGGCCCCAAGTCTAGGGTAATGGCTTGTTAATACGGATATTGAGACAATATATGTCATACAAAGTATTAAACTTCCTTACATTTATTGGGAATAGATGAAGTGATTTTACTTGTTTTGCAGTGATACAGTTTTCAGTGATGCAGTTTGTGTATGCTTTGAATACATATTGAGGGGAAGTATTTCAACCTCGATATAATAAAATCTTATTATTGGCTTCATTGCATTATATATTGCTAATCATTTGTTACTCTTCTTTATAATTCCAGCAGCTAACAAGGCAACTGGGACAGATTCAGGTGAACTACAATGCATTACAGGTTGACACAGTTTTGAATCAGTCTTAATAAATATGAACTTGATGTGTCAGAAAAACAGAAATTAAATCTAATGTAAAAATATGTGTAATCAATACACATTTTCAAAAATCAGTCTTACTGCATTTGACTCTTTTGGGATCAGAAATCACGGAAGGGTGCCACTATATATTGGGGCTATACACTATACACTATACACTGTGAGCACATCTGAATATTGGCAGGGACGTGTCCCCCCAATATGTATTATAATTGCGGCCTTGCACTTGGAACAGTGCTATATACACATAAACTTAACTAGGAGGAATTTTAGCAATTAGTCATAAAAGATACATTTGAATGAGGAAGACCTTGACATTCACGGTGTCTGATGAAGTGTTCCTTCTACCCCCTTGTGCCACCTATGCCTCCATTGTACCACAAGCAGAATGTCACAACGGTGAACTTTTGTGATTATGAAGAGAGTCAGGGTAATTACCTGGTGGATGTGGATGGAAAACGGATGCTGGATGTGTACATGCAGATCACCTCAATCCCCATCGGTGAGAGTCAATGTGATGCTGCTCTGACTGTAATCATTCAGAATCAGTGTTGCCATTTCAATGCTCTTTCATTTGTATTTAGACTGAATTTTCAGGTACTTTCTCTAAAATCCCTTTTGTATTTTCTTTAACTTTCCTTTTTTTTAGGATACAATCATCCAGCACTACTGTTAGTACTGACAAACCCCCATAATCTGGCTAGTTAAAATGTGAAATGGGTGACAAGACATGTGACTATTTTAAAATAAGCAGAATAATTCTCAGGACATCTTAATGTTTTACACTACAAAATACAGCATGTTTGTAATTTACCATCCATATTGGCTGTTATTCTGTCCTTATTCCTTTGGAAAATTCTTAGTTTTGAGTCCAGTTTTGACAGAAAGGCAGGGTGGGCAGGTGCAGCGTTTTGCATGATATTTCCAGTGATTCCACCATCTACATCCTGTGTCCTGCTTGATAATACAGTGGTACCATGGAACACGAACTGAATTCGTTCCAGAAGGCTGGTCGAGTTGCAATTTGGTCGAGTTCCCCATAAGAAATAATGTAAATGAATTTAATCCATTCCAGACACCCAAATGATTCCATATTTAAACTTATGTACATACCTAACTAATGAAAAAGCTTTAACAATCAATATAAAACTAAATTTTTAATGCAATTAACCCATCTGCAGCACAGAATGACTCAAAATCCCTGAAATGTCTCTGTCAACCCATTTCGGGCAGTTTTGGTGCGTTCCATTTGCCCTTAATTGTAGCTCGTATTCCGAGTCGGATTCCGAGTTTTGAAGCCAGAAGTGACAACATGTGCACTCCTGTTTCTCGGAGATCCGAGAAATATCTTGGAGCAGCACAGAAGATCCCGAGTTCAGAATCTAAGATGGCTGGGCACTTTATCAACAGATGGAAAAGTTGTAGTTTTATACTGTTTAAGCGCTACTTCTCATTTGTGGCTCATTAAATCAGTCGCACATGTAGTACCCTCACCACCTGATGAGGGGAGATGTAAATAGTTAAGAAAACGCAAGACACGGAGCTGCTGCTTCACGATCAGAGTCTATATTTCTGAGCAGCGCCCCCCCCCTCCACAAACAGGTGACCAGCTCCCAAGGGGAAACCAATCGAGTAATCAGTGTATCACCCCAGGCTGAGCAGGGAATATTAGTCGTCACAGATAAAACACTATATACTTTGCATTTTTTTTTAAAGAAAAACACATTTCACTTGTCCCAAGTTCAATGTTTCTCTGATATAATTTACTAACATTTTTTTTTTTATTTCCCACATTATTTATTTATGGAACCACCACACACACACTATACCGTCCAACTTATATGTGGACGTGTTGCTACGGAGTTTTATATGTAAAGCACCGCGCGTAATGTGTTATCAAGTGATATTGCTAACAATGGCAATTAACCGGGCTAGAATTGGATTTCATGATGAGTCGGATTATTTGTCGGATTTACGGTAGTTTGGGCTAAAGTGAACTAAGATAAAGACCATTTAAACTGAGGTACCTTAAATCCGTTGTCCAGCTAAGCAAAAAATCTTGCTTTTTGATATGGGTCCATGGTATTGCACTTCTGTGGCAGATGGAATGCATCCGACTCATGTTCAGGATGTTCAATAAACATGTTAAGTTATTCCCTTTTTTCTTGAGTCTGTTTGCTCATGCAAAATGAGATGCGATTAATATAGATTAAAAATAAATGATATTTAATCGAAATTAATCCACAGCAACCCTGTGATTAATCTGATTTAAAATTTTAATCGTTTGACAGCACTATAATGTATTCATTTTATTCATGCTATAACGATGCTAAAACACGGTCACTGTAGTCCAGTGATTGCTGTTTGTTTCTCTGCTCTGCTCTTTCTAAGGGTGCCTTTGTAAACCGGCCAGCTCTTGGGGTGCTACCTCCTCAGTACCTTCCAGATAAGCTGACTGAGGGCCTGCTTTCAGTAAGAACACTTCACAGAAACATGGGAATACAGGAATTGCAGTGCCGTCTCTGTCGAAGCTTATCTGTCCCCATTCAGGCTGCTGTGCTGCCATTATCGGTAGACAATTGACTGCAGGTGTTGGTGTCATTACATCACAAGTTAATAAGTAAATTTGAATGTATAATTAGGGAATATAAATCACATTATGTTCTGATAACTTTATCATTCATTTTATAAGCCTCACTAAATGTACCAGATTGCAGTTTAAATAAATAGGAATGCCGTCAGTTTCTGGGTTTCAGTGCATATAGATTTATAATTGGATATACAGCTTTCAAGTGAATACACCACTATAAATATATATTGTATATTTATATAAGCAGCTATCTGAGTCCCATCTTTAATTCTGTAATGTTTAAGCAAGCACGTTCAGCAGGGTGACCCATCTGTAACCACAGCTTACTTTCCTTAGGTTGCCCCAAAAGGGATGAGTCGAGTTCAGACCATGTCCTGTGGCTCCTGCTCCAATGAAAATGCCTACAAAGCCATATTCATTTGGTACCAGGTAAGTGCACAATAACATCTCATACCATACGCACTGGACAGAGTTACACAGTAATTATTAAGAGGAAATGTATGTATTTTAAACAGAATAAATGAACAAAATTTTACTTTTAAATCTTGAAGTCATCATAGTGAGTAAGTTCCATATCTCCCCTTATGCCCCAATCTGTGAGCCTGTCCTTTGTGGAAATTTCAGTAAATAGAATTGCTATCAAAACACTGGAAGTCATTTAAAATTACACCAAAACATTCTTTAATTGCATATGATGCCCTTAGTCGTTTTGAAAATATTATATATCAAACTACTGTAAATGCAATTGACTATTGGCAATATACTAAGAAAATATGGGTGCTATAGCATTAGAAATACAATGTTTTTTGAAGACACTAGTTTACTTTTTTTTTAACGGCAGTCTCTAGGTAAATGCATAACAGTTTGGTTACTGGATGAGCAGGCATGAATGCATTTAAATTCTCTATTGTAAGAAAATCTCTAGTGCATGTCATTTACATACTGCGCCACTGAGAGGCCCTGTAACATTTACTACTATGTTCCTTATCAGCCCTCACTCTACATATTTGCTCATACAGTATATGGCTGTACATTCCTATTTTAAACATCGTTTTGCCATCTCCAGAAAAAACAAAGGGGAAACAACGAGCCAACGCCAGAAGAGTTGAACTCAAGTGTGATCAATCAGGTAAATCAGACTGATGCAGCCCCCTGATTACCACCTGGTCTGTGAGATTACACCAAGAGATCTGTAAAGGACACTCTTCGAGTCGTCCCTAATGGCTCTGCACACCACATTCAGGACTACTCATACTGTTATAACCAACTGTAAAATCTTTGCTTCTCCCACTGCAAGAAGTTTGTAAAGGCTGATAAAGAAGAACACCAATCTATCTCCTACTGCACCCAAATCCCCACCATCTCAGAAGACACTTTTTCTGGCTGTGGACCTTCTCTCCTGTCATTTTATCTCTACAAATGATTTCTTCCCCAGCCTCTAGGCTGTCTTTCATGGGTGGGTTTCATGGGAGAACTGGTGTAACACGCTATGGACATTTTTTTCATGACGAATCGGAGCGGCGTCTACAGTTTTGCAGGCGCTTAACCGGTTCGTCGTGGCTAAGAAAGAACTGAGCCAAAAAAACAAAGCTCTCCATCTATTGGTCCATCTTCATTCCTACCCTCACCTATGGTCATGAGCTATGGGTAATGACCGAAAGAATGAGATCGCGAATACAGGCGGCCGAAATGAGGTTTCTCCGCAGGGTGGCTGGGCTCTCCCTTAGGGATAGGGTGAGAAGTTCGGATATCCGGGAGGGCCTCAGAGTAGAACCGCTGCTTCTCCACGTCGAAAGGAGCCAGTTGAGGTGGTTTGGACATCTGGTGCGGATGCTTCCTGGGCGGCTACCCGGAGAGGTTTTCCGTGCATGTCCTACAGGGAGGAGGCCCCGGGGCAGACCCAGGACTCGCTGGAGGGATTATATCTCTCGGCTGGCCTGGGAACGCCTCGGCGTCCTCCCTGAGGAGCTTGCAGAGGTAGCTGGGGAGAGGGAGGTCTGGGTATCTCTCCTGAAGCTGCTACCCCTGCGACCCGAACCCCGGACAAGCAGAAGATGATGGATGGATGGATGGATGGATGGATGGATTTTTTTCATGTCACCCTTGGCAATCTGCCAGCAGTCCCAGACAAGCACATTTTTCATTATTCACTTTGTGTGAGGACATTTTATGTTTATTTTGGGGCAGTCCACATAACATTGATAATTATTGATTAAAAAATAAACATACAAATAAATAAGTGGTTTGTCTCCAAAAAGCTATTGCATCACTTTCTTCGTGGTAGAAGTGGTCTCACCATCGTACATGTGTGCATATGAATAGAACATACGCACATGTACAGTGCATGATAACACTGCATGAATGTGTCCACAGGCTGTCTGTCCACGACGCACACGAAGGCTATCCAGAGGCTGGATGCCCCTTCCTTTGATTGGCCGATCGCGCCTCTCCCCAAACTGCAGTACCCCCTGGAAGAGTTTGTCAGAGAAAGTGCGCAAGAAGAAGCCCGATGCCTAGAAGAGGTTAAAATGATTACATTCAGCACTAGGCCTATGTGCAAGATATTTAGAGAAACTGAAACTGCATTTGGGGTACAACTGTATGGAGGCACATGTCAGTCAGTCTTGTTAGTTTTTACTTTTATCATGTACAAGTTGTCTGCTGTATTTCCCATCACGCCGTTACCCTCACACCCTTAGTGCCGCCAGGGGTCAGGTGACCTTCTGTGCCATTGATGTCAAAGATGAGGCCACACGAAACAGCCTCATTCTCAAAGCTAGGAACAGGGGTAAGGACTGCAGACATCTGCAATGTTCGAGGTCTTATGCTAAACTTTCTGGATAAAAATGAATCATTTATTAATAAAGACAAATGTATTATAAAGTACATTTGAATTGTAGAACTAAGTAACAATGTTTATAGTACAGGTACTATTTTAATGTATGCTCTACAGGTTTGGGCATTTCAGGTCCAGAAGCTACAAATCCAGACCAAGATTTTGTTTCTACCAATCAGTTGAACATAAAGTCATATAGTCACAAAGTACTCAACTGGTTGGTATGAACAAAATCTTGGTCTGCATTTGTGGATTCTGGACCTGAAATGCCCATCACGGATGCTCCGTTTGCTCATTAAATGGAAGCATGATTTATTTCACTGTTTAATTAAAATGACTACTCAATGTGGTTATTGAATGTGGATGTTTATGGTCTCACAGGTTTTGTCTTGGGGGGCTGCGGAAACCGATTGATCAGGTTCTGCCCCGCTCTGGTATTCAAGGAGCACCACGTACATCTCTTCCTCAACATCTTTAATGACACGCTGGCAGATTTCCAGCAGAGGAGCTAGAAGTCGGACTCAAGTATAATTCACACCAGAAAGGGCACCGATTCATATACGTATTGATACTTTTCAAATGGCCAGATCAGCTTTTTTCTTTATGTACATTAAAAAATAAATGCACTAAGTTTCACAGACTACTGAAAACAGGTACAATATCAGATATCTAAAGTTACATCACTTATGTAAAACATACATTTTCAAAGCTAGGATCACGGTATTTCTGACATATACACGATTTAGTTAGTATTTTAATGTGTTAAAAAACAGGGGCAAATGTCCATTTGGCTGGTTAGTTATGGAAACTGCTGACTTGCAGTTACATTTTATTGTTTCAGCTACATAAACTTATTTTGACACCATGTAAAGATTTTTCAATTTTGCTAACACTATTTACTCTCAGCAAAAATATGTACTTATCATTTGAAAGACTTGCTGTAAGAGTAAATAACAGCCTGGCCATCAAAAGTCTGAGTTGTGCCTTATGAGAAACTGCCAAAGACCTGTTTAAATCCCTCTTTGTCCACCACACGACCAAACTGAGTGGAGAAATACAAAGTTCTAGGACAGCTATATTGCTTTAAGCGCAGTAAAGTTTCATGTCTGGTGTCACCCGTGTCCCCAAGAGTCATGATGTCAGTCACAGGTACATAAATATCTTTCCTTTTACCCCAGAAAGTGAGGTGAGATACCTTAAGAGTGCTTTTGGTGTCATCCAAATACATCATACCCACAAATCTCCTGAGATAGTGGCTCAGGGAATACAGCATGACAGCAGCAAACACTGCAATTCCAGTACTGTAGCTTATGAGGGTATATGTGACTTGTCCCTGAAAGTAGAGGTAATACACAGGAGGGAGGATGACAAAAGTGATTCCGGTCTGAAGCAGCTTGAGTCTTGATACTGCTCGCAGGAATCGGATGGCTGGAAAAACATAGATGAGGGTAAACTGGCGTGATGTCAGGTCCTCAGGTTTCAGTTGACCTCTTTTATGCAGTGTTGTACATAAATGACAGCACTGTTGTAGTCCGACTTTCTGCCTTGTGGAGATCAGGCTGTTTTCAAGTAGAACAGGGTGAATCCCACGAAGAAGACATCTCAAAGGCACCGTCACAGAGTATTCCCGACAACGAAATGTCAAAGGGATGAATACACATGAAAAATGTCTTAGCCTTTGCTGTAAAGAACACAAAACAGGATGTTATTAAAATACGACATTTTCCCCGTTTAAACAATATACAGCAACCATTATTTCAATAGGGAGGTATAAGAACGTTTTAAACGTCTGCGACAAAATACAATTAATCCTGCTGTTTCTGACACAACTACCTACCAATAAGTGGAGATACAACTAAATTAATCCAAGGTCTGGAGGGGCTCTCCAGGTAATAAATCTGCCTATTCATTTCCACCGTTAATACTTTAATGAAGGAAAAAAATAAAACACTGCATCACAATACATATTTATATCGTTGAATAAATATATTTCTTTTAATTGCTATATCTTACGCTAAAAAAAACAAAACTCACCATAATTTTAGGAACAACTGCGTGCCCAGTAGAAGAGGGAGAGTGTCTCACTTTAAGGCATCCGGAGGAAACTTAAGATTATTGTTTGGTTCCTGTTAGAAAAAAATAAAACCCGGTGGGCTAGCACTGAATAACAAATAGCATTCAGTATGTGCATAAATAATCAATAGAATTTACTGGCTTAGTGGAAAATTTAAATGATAGTTATGAAGCCTTTTTTCAGGATTTCCGCGCCGTACACTCAAAGAGCAGTTTTACTACAACTCCCAGGTAGTCAAGCAAGGGTGGACAAGGAAGAGGTTTAACACACTGACGTGTACGAAGGAGCCCCACCTCTGCATGTTTTTCCTCATTCATTGTATCTTTTATAACTTTGTCATATAATAAAGAAGAATACTGTTAACTGGCTGCATCTGCTGATAATTAAAATGGCACAGCCAAGCGTGGATACATCAACACTTTGCTTATTTGATGTCGATGGGACTCTTACCGCAGCTCGACAAGTGAGTTAAAGTACTTATACTCTCCCATGGTATTCCCAGAGTACACTAAAGGGCTGTAAAACGAGTTTATTTTAGCTGTGCCAACTAGGAAGCGGATCCTATGTTGCCTTCGTGATCGATGTACATTCGTGACATTTTAAGCAGTGACTTAAGAATTACTGTGGCGCGGGAGCATGTAATCGTATGCCTTTTAGATGAAGATCTATATAATTAAAGGTTAAATGTCAAAGTGAGAACATGTAGACAACTTAGCTTGACAATGCTGCCGTCATTCGATGTTGTTATCGTCCGGTTCAAGTCATCTATATGTAATGAATGTTGAATGTATTGTGCATGCGGTGACATTGTACCTTAGTCAGCAGCACTGTAGTGTCTCACTTAAAGGACGTCCTGTTGCAGGTGGATTGGTATTTATAAATGTTTTATGTAAAGTTATATAACTAAATGTAAACTGGCATCATATACAGATCACCAACTAAGCACCAACTGAACCTGCTTCCCAACCACAGTATATGTAAAACATACAGCCAGCTTCATCTGTATTACCTGTCTATTTCTGATATGAATAGATAAAAACACCATTTATACTCATTTCAAGTTAGAAAAAAAAATCAGTTAACCAAGTGCTCTCTTCATTTTCTTAGAGAGCAACCCCTGACATGGAGGAGTTTTTGGCCAACCTACGAAAGAAAGTAAGAGTTGGAGTTGTTGGAGGATCCGACTTCAGCAAGATTAAAGAGCAACTAGGAAATGATGGTAAGAAGATGAACCAGCCCGACTGGAGATTCCTTCCTGGAGACTACAGGTCCTTTATATGTTTTATGATGATTCATAGCAATGCGTTGATTGCCTGAGATGCCCAAAAGTCAATATGGCTCGGTTAATGAGAGGTGTGTCCTTACTGCACTGGTTTGCTCTGTTCTTACAATGTTGTGGAACTGTAGTTCATTATTCACTAGTCCGTTAGTCACTGACTAAAACCTTATTAAAAAACATCCAGTTACATTCTCTGCAGGCAGTAAACGACAGGTTCCATAAGCTGTACTGCTCCTCCCTGACTGCTCAGTGTGCATCAGACACTAACTGTTTTTTATGAAAGCTGTGTTCCTCAGTGTACCTCAGATTTTGTTGCATATATTTATTGTAGAACTACAACATGTGACATTCCATTCATAGTTCAATTGGATAATTCATTGCTGTTGCTTCTTTTTGTTTAGTGTTGGATAAGTTTGATTATGTGTTTGCTGAAAATGGGTTGGTTGCCTACAAGAATGGGACATTGCTGTCTGTACAGGTAAGGGATAGCTTAGGGCATACTACAGTAGAACATACTACAGTAAATACTACTGCCATGCTTTAAAATAACATTTAATGGTTAACTTGTTTTCAGAGTATTCAAGCATACTTGGGTGAGGAGCTCTTGCAGGACTTCATCAATTTTTGTCTGGATTACCTAGCAAAAATTAAACTTCCTAAAAAGAGGTAAAATGATACTGCAAAGAAGTTCTAAAGTCCAGCTTCTACCATTAGCAAATGACCTTATTTTGTCGTTGTTATTGGCTGGCCAGAACTGGTTTTTATTTTTATTACTCAGGTCATTCATAATGGATGTTCTTTCCATTGGACATTCTTGTTGTGTTTTAAAACCCTGACTCTGGTAATGAATGTGATTCTTTGAAACCTTACAGAGGAACTTTTATCGAATTCCGTAATGGCATGTTGAACATCTCTCCGGTGGGCAGAAGCTGTAGCCAAGAAGAGCGAGTTGAGTTCTTTGAACTTGACAAAGTAAGTCATTGTTTTTCCTCTAGATCTGGGTAAAACCATGCTTGTATTTTCTTTACCATCTTAGTCTGTGTTACATACTGTTGCACTGCGAACACTGTAAATTTGTGTAACATTGTGAGAACATAATGCTTCGTAAACAGAACTTTTTTCATCCTTCGTCATTTGCTTCTGTAATAATACTGTCACTTAGATTTCTATTGCTTTTATTTTGTGTATGCAAATACAGCAGGTCAATCCAAATAAAGCTTTACACTCCTTCTACAGAGAGAGCACATCAGAGAGAAGTTTGTAGCAGTTTTACGGAAAGAATTTGCAGGCAAAGGACTTATGTTTTCAATAGGTATGTTTTTTATTTATTTGTGATCAATTGATTTAATGATAAATATCTTATATTTATCAGTGCAAGCATTATAATTAGCTTTATTATGGCAAGTGCCGGACATGTGACAGGAATTTGTGCCCCTGCAGGCTTCCCAATATGTACTACCGAAATATCTTAACGCCTAACACTTACAAAGGAACACTCAACGCATGAAGAGAAAGCATATGAAGAATATTAAAGAACAGTACATGTGATACAATTCATATGCTTTAGATAGAAGGATAATGTATTATTCATTGTGACTTCAAGGGAATCTGTAGAGTGTCTTTTTAATATTCACTGTTTGTTGTAATGCAGGTGGCCAGATCAGCTTTGATGTTTTTCCTGAAGGATGGGATAAACGTTACTGTCTGGGAATTTTAGAGAATGATTCCTATGAGACCATTCACTTCTTCGGAGACAAAACCAAACCAGTGAGTCCTGCATGAGAGTCACTGACCCACATGCAATAGGTCTAACATGTTACAGGTCTCACATATTGTCCCTTGTTTTTTCTTCTTAAGGGTGGTAATGACTATGAGATCTATACAGACCCCAGGACCATTGGACATGAAGTAACGTGTCCCAAGGACACCAAGAAGATCTGTGAAGAACTCTTCTTTAAATGAAGCCTTGAAGATCCAAGGAAATGGGTGTGGTTAGATTTGGAATTGAAAAAAGAAGAATCTTCTTTTGAAGGACATTCCAGAAGCTGCCCAGTCGCACATACACACAATAAAAATGGCCGTTTCATTTTGATTTCTCTTTATCTGACGAGTTGTGAAAATCTAGGTTTTCCAAGGACGGATGTACTGCTGTAATCTGTAGTGGGTTGCCACAGCTGTATATTCTGCTTACTCAGATCCTAGCTACTTTTCAAATTCACTTTTGAGAGTAATAAAGTTACTGCAATATGCCATTTTACTATGATATGCAGTAGGACATCTGATTGAATTCTGGGCAGAATAATGCTTAAATGCTGAGTGTGTGTGTGTGTGTTTGTGTTTGCATAGATCACATTTGGGGACCAAAATGTACCCAAAGCATGGTAAAACCTGAAACTTTTGGGGACACTTCTTCAGGTCCCCATTTGGATAACCTCAATTTTATAAAAATCTGTGAATGCAGTCAAAAAAGTAAAAGTGGCTGGGTAGGGGTTAAGGGTGACAGCAAGAAAGAATATGTGTGTGTCTGTGTACTTTTCAAGTGCAATTTTGTTGATGTCATCTCCCAAATGTACTTTGCTGAGTAAGACAAACAGGTTATAAACCCAACATAACATTACCAATGTGCAAAGGATGTGTTTAAGAATATTTTATTATGGGTTTATATTTAATAGCAAACAAGCTACATTGGTTAGCTGCAAATCACGTACTATCTTAAGGGTTCAGTAATAGAAAATGACAGGGTGATGAGGATAGTCACTCAGGTATTAACATCTTCCCATATTAACATTCATTACTGCCCCAACTACATAATGAACTTAATATTCAACAGCCAAAAAATTTTTATAGACAAAATACCCACCATAACTATATTGACACATTCACGTGGACATACAGGGTATTTTATTGATTATCTTTAAATTAATATTTCGTATATTAATGGCCGTATTAAATTCTTCACAGTAAAATATACAATTCGTCCTGTTACGTACTCATTACATCCGAAGATTATTATTTACCTGCGGTCTGATGAATTGCTTTATTGCTGAGCTTAAGGGAGACACAAGACACCTATGTACTTTTTTTGACAATCGTACCAGGCAGTAGACAGCAAGTACAGTACCGTGTAGCTCAAACACTTGGAACGCAGCAAAGGAACACAGCAAACTGCGATGCACTTTCTCCCCGCTGGGGGGCGGAAGGAACGTCTGCATCAGGGTTCACCAACATGGTGCCGCGGGCACAAGGATGCCCAAAGGACCTGTTCTAAAAATAGCACAACTCACCAGTTAGCAGCGTCTAAAATGAAATTTTATCCTATTGCTAAATGTGCTTTAAGCACGTTTGCATTTATATAGATTTGACAATCACAAATCTAAAAAGAAAGCATTCAAAACACGTTTATTATACATGAAGTTTAGATAAGTTTAGGAGGGCGTTTCAAACTGGTAGCCCTTTGTATGGCTCAGTACCCGAGAAGTAGCTCTCAGTTTCAAAAAGGTTGGTGATCCCTGGTCTACGTTTGGAAAAAGGTTTTATCCAAGAGGGAAGCTCAGCTATATGGTACAATTATAATTTTAATGAGATGGACACTTTAAAAAAATTTACCTTTATGTTAGCTCTTTAAGTGTATGTAACCCAATACATATCCTTCACTATCAGTAGATCATTTCCCACCTGACAATCATATTACCTTGCAGAATTGTCACATACTTACTCTCAAGTGAACCTTCCATTTATCCATTTTCTGAGCTGGATTGTTGCCAAGGGTATAACAGGGTGTTCAAATGGCACCAGAAATTCAAGCTTCACGCTCATATAAAATCAGCGTTTTTGTTGCTTTATTTGGTTTGCATAAACAGGCAGATTTACAATTTAATCTGTAACGTAGCATTCCTACTTCTTTAGATTGAAAGTGGCAATCCTAACCACAATGTAACAATGGTCATAGGCTTGGCCTTTAAGAAATTAAAGGCATGGTTATTGTACATGAGTGTTTTTCACATCTTGTTTTTAATTTCAAGTCAATTCTCTGGTTACAACACTGCTTCTAATCACTTTCCCTGGTCGGTCACAAGGAGGAAGCCTTTTTGAGATCTTTTGCTTTCTTCATTTTCATTTCTCTCAAAACAAGTTGTATGTAATTGCTCAGATAAATCATACTGTAGTGTGGCTAATCAGTCTTAATAATAATCATCTCCATCATCATAATTAAACCTACTGACAAAAAACGCACAGCTAGACCTGTAAAAACTGGGAGGCTTTTTTTTAGGTTTTAGGCAAAATCTAAAAAAAAATTAACTAGTATAACAAAGTAGTAAATAATGTTCAGAAACAAAATTATTTGCAAAGTGTGGTACTTTCACAAGACATTCAATGCATTGTGTTCAGGGGAATAAGTCACAGGAAGGACAGATCTATGTGACCTCAGAATGGGAGCATAGAGCAGGAACTTTGGGTTCCTGCAGTTCTGTGAAGTGGGAACCAAAGAACACTAGGAGAATCCAGAGGGACACAAAACCAGCACTGAGCAGCAAAAGTATAAAAGATTCTGGGCTGCTAGAGCTCAGAGGGAAAACATTAGGCTGTTTAGTAACATTAACAGTGGGCGGCCAGTGAATGAAGGCACTTGTTCTCCGACTTTGCCTCATTGGGAGAGACCTCATCTTTACAGCTATGAAGAAAGACCTTCTGAAACCCAGTTACCTAGCAATAAAGAAACGTGATATCTGTCTTTGCAGAAAAGTACATTAAGTACTACGGAAAGGCATGACATTTTGCTTTCCTGCTATGGGATTAGTATATTGCTGTATATTTTTGCATGCGTTATTTTTGTAATGATAAAAATAATGAGTGAAGTAAATGGACTTTAGGTTTTGGCATCCGTAATCATTTTGTCTTTTCTGTGGATTCAGATTTTAAAAAGCTTTCAGGGAGAACTCATCTTTTTTTTTTTGGCAAGGTTTGTCTTAAGCCATTGTCAATCTAGCATTGTTGGTACCTGTGCTTGCATCTCGAAGCCCCCCTTATAAATATCAATGTCTTTTTCATTCCACTGCTACGGCATGTTACTTTCTGTATTACACTTTCCTTTATGCTAAAGCTTGACTGGCCATTTGAATGGCAAACGGTGTTTGTACAAACTAATGGTTCTCAAATGGTCGATGCACAATGCCCCATTGCTTTAAAGTGCATCCCTGGCAAAGCACCAAAAAAGCACTCTGCTGCTTCCAAATTGATTTGCATGTCATTCTGATGAACCTGGTCAGTGGCTCTATTAGAGTATGAACCCATTGTGATATCTGGGGAAAAAAAGTACAGATACCTATGTGAGAGCTTTAGTGTGAAAAGATTTCAATATAACACTTTACATTTAGAGCTCTATCAAACTCTCTATCAACAGAAATAGAGTCTTTGTAGATTTGACAGTCATGTCAGAGCAATTCCTGATACATTTGGTTATAGTTCATGTTGTAAGCTTGCAGGAAGTAACTTATTGCCTAAAACTATTTAACGAAACAAATCCAAAATGAAGCACAATTATTAGTTTAACAAAATATGGAAACAAATCTTAAAATGCAGAAAATATTTAATGTATATCTACATGTAGATTACAAGAACATTCAACATTAAACACAGGAGTTCACAAGACAATTCAGTAGTAAGCTGAAAGTGGCCACGCGTTCAGTTGTCTCAGAGACACAGTTCACTTCTCTATATACATCAGCAGGTTTTGGCAAAAAATAAACCAGCAGAGTAAGAGTTGCTTTGGGGAAAACCCTGTAATAAAATATAAAGTGCAGCCAGTCCACTTTAACTGTCAATAACAACAGTACAGCCATTGTCTCTCTTACCGTGACATTACATACTTCAACAACCATAAGCAGGTTCCGCGTAAAGCTGAAATATAAACACATGCCAAGTCCAGGGTAAACAAAACGTCTGACTTTTGACTGAATTTCCGCATGGATAACCAGCAAAGTCCTGAGCTGCAATCAACAACTATCCGCAATGAAGATGAATTAACAAGAGTGGAAAAACTAGACGATGAAATCACCTCTTTGCCCTTGTTTGAGCTTTAAGTAGCCAACGTGTTTTTTGGAATCTTTGGACTTCCTACCTGCATAAATAAACATTTGTGTCAAACTGGTATTAGTGTCAAGTGTAAAATATACCTGGAAAACTGCACATTGTCTTCATTTACTGTACATATGTTGAAACATATGTTGAAGGAAAAAAAAAAAGACAAATCAATTTTTAAAATCACAATCTAAACAGTTAACCAGACAAAAGAATAAACTCTCTCAGATACAAAACCCAAGCCCCCTGAACTTTGTCTTGTTATTGCTTGTACAGGTTTTCAAAAATGCATGGAATTACACATTTA